GAGAGGGGCTTAGTTAAGCTTAGAAACACATACATATGTAACACGGAAGTGAATCATGATAAGACATCATTCAATTCCCTGTTTAATGGTGGCGACAACATAGGACAACATGGTCGAAATTGACGTTGACAATTCACTGGTTTCCTGGAGAAATTGTCCCCCCTTGCGAATCGGAAGAGGAAACAAACTAAACCAAAGTCGGCAGCTCGTTTGGTTCTCTCTTCAAAGATGATTCGATAGAAGTGTGTATCGTACATCAAAGTATGTATCAAAACCTCATCGGACTCAGCATCCGTAGTTCGTCATGAGACTGTTTTAGCAGCCTAGCAAAGGCTGCGCGTGAAGCCAATAGTATGTATCCAAATGGCTTCCATGGGGATTAAATCGCAGACAATTGCTTGTATATTTGATGCAGAGTGGGAAGAACACATCAGCGAGATCAGACGAATTGAAAAGAAATTCGAATGTAAATATCAGATGAAGAGAACATCAACAGACCATCAGATGTTGTTGAATGTGACGAGGACTCGAGGAACCTGAAGCACGAAACAACGAATCATGATACATCAACATTTTTATCATAGATGTTCTCAGGGAGACGTGTCGTAATACTCTTTGGATTCTTTTTTTGATCATGTAGCATTGATGCATTTGAGATCCCGGATGGTGGCGAATCAACAGCCGAATACTCATATACCCCTGGGGCCTGATGACGTCAACTTTTTTCATCAACAAGGATCACAAGATTACTCGATATCTGTTTCTAGACAGTCAAGAATGAATCCACGCGTTTCGTAGCATCAGCCGCAGAAACTATCGAAATACCGCGAAAACTTTGCGAATGCGCCTAGAGTACTCAGTTATAGTATTCAGGACTACAAATTCCATTAGCTGTTCAGATGTTGCAGGACCAAAGGCATCTTAGCAAGCATCCGGACATTGTGAGATATAAATTGTGAAGATAATAGGAATAGAAGTGATAGAGGCAATGTATGTGGCGCTTCCTGAGTGAAACAGGGTCGAACGGTTATGGGAATACCTATGAACAGAGGCGGCAAGGTACCGGATCTGCAACCAACCCCTCTGGAAGTTTGAGTCGCCCAATTTGCACCTCCGAAAACCAGTTTGGTGGAACAAGTTAGAGATCACGAGGTTAAACCTTCGACCAATTGTCGCTCTTCAATTACTGCATGATCATTGACGAGAAAAGCAATAGATTGAACAACCCTATTGTGAATTCTCCAATTGACGATATTGATTGCACACCACCATATGAGAAAATATATCAAGACATATCAAAGCACTATGCAAATGAGGCAAGAGATAAATATTTTAATCATCATCTTCATCATCATCTTGTTCTTGTAAAAATTTGACCAATGGTTCGCTCGATTTGAGAAAATGTTGTCTAGCCTGAGGTTTGCTACCTTTACTATGCCAATATAACACGGCTTGGTCGCTTACGACATCGTGAGCATATAACTCCTTCAAAATACGAGCAAATGCTCCCATTATCTTGGTGTTCCTGTCACCCACAAACAAACCAAGGCTGTATCAATAGACGTCAGCTGCTTTGGCACAGCAAGGTACGCACTCGTATGCCCAGACTTGGATAGTGTTGATTAGGGAAATTTGTGTCCGCCCATTTTCACAAAAGCAAGCTAACACAGGGGCGACAGCCTGGTGGGATAGATACTTCAGTTATACGCTCAGCAGATATAAAATGTATTTTTCCCACTCACAGTCACTTCTTTGACCACCATGTCTACGATTTGGTCAGGACGACTGCCCATGTCGAGACTATGCATCAACCCAGCCCATACTAAAGCAATGAACTCGACGTCAGGAATAACGCCGGTTAGAGCTTGCTCGCGGAGAAACGCGATGATCTGAAGACAGAGGAAACAGCGTCTAGTAGAGCAAACGACCAGCGAAGGAAGATAGTCAAATGTCAATCACCTCGGCGCGCGGTTCTTCGGATGCGACCATCTCTTTCAGGTGGGCTAAAGTCTCATCCCGAATCTGGCCACTCTTTTGCTTTTGGGCAAAGGTGATGATAGCATCCAATTTTTCACTTTTGAAGTGCGCTTCTAAATCGCTACGTTCGCGTTGATGGGGTGGGAAGAACCCATATATATCCGTGACACCACCACGTCGAAGGGATCCAGATAAATGATCTGACGTTTCCACTTGGAGGTATGCTCTGAAAACTTTGGTGACAAATTTCAAGGAGATTCCTAGAAAGGAAGATGATGTTTCAAGTTCCGAACAGGTTCAGATGCGAAAACGAAAACAAGTATATGCATCCGAGCTCACCATCCTTTACTAAATGTTCCTTTTGAAGGGTGAGTAGTACATTTGAGCTTGCCAATCCAGTGGACATGAAGAGAGCCAATGCATAAGCAAGTCTCTCCATATCAGGTCCTTCAAACTTATTGATGTATTGTAATAAGCCGGTAAGAGCGTTTTCCTCAAATAGCTTCTGCAAATATTTATACCTAGAATTCAACGAAGGAAGTCAGCTAGTCTTTTCATGATTCGTCAAAAGGACTCGTTAGTCAAACAGCAGATTTGTCGTACCGCCTGATCAGTTTGTTAAAAACGTCTACGTGTTTCTTCATGTCCGTTTGATCAACAGGATACTTAGTGCTAGTGATTATGCTGAAAGGACTTTTTTCCGCTCCATCATCGACGTAGCTTCCTCCTGGTGCCAAGATCCCACCCACAAGCAAGATCTCGAACAGCGGGCCTTCATATTTACGATAATCTAATTGATTTCCAAGCGAATCAAGTTTTGCGGCAACAGCTTCAAAATCATTCGCAGGCAAAGTTGATAAATGCTTGAGAATCTGATCGCGAAATTCTGATGGGGGTGAATTAGTGACAAAAAGAACTAAATGGGAATGAAGTGAATTGCTAAGATGCGAATTGAGTTGGATCTCACCCTCTGGTTCGAATTTGGCAGCGGCTTTAGCCACACCTTTTCTATTTCGAAGGAGAAAACCCGGTAAGGCGAGAAGCAAAGCGTCCACGGAACAGGATCAGTATGGGATGTGACATTGCAGGAAGCCTTGTAGGGAAAGCCAACCGTTGTTTGTTCCGGACTCCGGCGAGACTAGGCTTAGCAGAAGTGGCTGTAGACATCAACTGCCAGATGAACGAAGTGATTTGATTCTAACACGAGTCGGAATGGGAAGAGCTCAGATCACGAAGTTTGCTCGGATGGTGGTGAGGACAGATTGCTGAGATTGGAACCTTCTGCTTGTTTTAATCAATCGGCGCTTAGTCCAAGCCCCGACGATCATACGTCTTCGGTGGCTCCTGATCCGATGATCCGCACATCGCTCGGGCTTGCGAGAAGTTTGCAGGCGCTCCAAACTCGGATACTTGAGGTTCGGAACACTTCATTCATACATACCCAATTGCAACATTGACCACTCAGCTTTTCATCTTATCCCAATCACTGGACACGCCGATCGCAACTTCATGGCGCCCTTATCATCAGTCTTGTCAGAACGTCAGAAGGAAGAATTGTAGGCTCCTGACCAATCTCTTACCGATTCTTTCACCTTGAAGACTGATGGAATTCACTTGTGCCGTAGTCATAAAGCGGTTCTTGATTTCTTATTTTCTTCCGGATTCCACCTAGCTTTTGAAGCGTTGAAATCAGAACTTCCCAGCCAACTTGAATTTCAACCCGATCCCAAGGCGAAATGGGCTGGATTGCTGGAGAAGAAATGGACTAGCGTCATTCGACTACAAAAGAAGGTAAGCAAACACAAAATGTATCGAATCTTATGGACGGCCCATGGCGAACACTTGGAGGTGATTGGAAAGCTTTCCCTCTCAATGAATATCCCATCGCATTTCGATTTTCTCCCCGTTAGATAATGGACCTAGAACGAGAAAACACGCTCTTGAAGGAAGAGCTTGCTTCTTCAGGCTCGACTACGGCCTCGCGACGGGGCCAAGATGACGACTGGATCCCGGGGCGCGGTGGTGGACCAAAACATACTCTGGTGAGATCACCTGGTTTGCTGTACACAAACTTGTGTTTTGATAGCATTTTTTCGTTGCGATGATCTGTCTAGACTGGCCATCGCGCTCCGATTACTGCGGTCACATTCCATCCTCGTTTCTCAAACGTCGTGTCTGCTAGTGAAGACAGTACTATCAAAGTCTGGGATTACGAGACGGGAGACTTCGAAGTTACGCTCAAAGGACACACAAAAGTCGTTTGTGATGTGGATTATGACACCAAGGGCACCTTTCTAGGTGAGCTTACATGCTTCATCAGAGAGCGGCGCATCTTGAGTTGATTCATCTTCGTGCCTCAGTCTCATGTTCCTCAGATTTAACCTTAAAACTATGGGATTGTTCTAACAACTACCGTTGTATCAAGACTCTCTATGATCACGACCATTCGGTATCCAGCTGTCGGTTCATGCCCGGAGATACGCACATTGTAAGCGCCAGTCGAGACCAAAGAATCAAATTATGGGAGGTTGCAACTTCGTCAGTCTGTCCACCTCTTTGCCACAGCCGCATGATCCTCTTGAGCACCTCCAGTTGTTGATTGGAATATCATCTCTCTATTCAGATTCTGTGTAAAGACGTTGAGGGGGCATTCAGAGTGGGTACGGGGTGTCTGGCCCTGCCCTAGCGGACGATGGTTAGTCAGTGCATCTAACGACCAAGTGAGCTCCCGCATTACACATCAGTTCTGGCCACGTCTGATATGATTTCTTAGACTTCCCGTATATGGGATGTATCCACAGGTGAAACCAAACTTGAATTACGTGGACACGAACATGTTGTAGAGGTCGCGGTTTTTGCTCCCGATCTGGCAAATTCCGCTATCAGAGAACTAGCGGGAATTCCAGTGCGTAACAGTCATATCAATCCGCAGGTTTAGCTCTCCACGACTTGTTCATGAATGATTATCCATCACCCATAGCTCCCATCCGCCACAGATACGAAAACCAAGTCAAACAATCCTATCTTTGTAGCAACCGGGTCTCGAGACAAAAGTATTCGTATTTGGGATGCGACTAGTGGTCAATGTCTCAAAGTCTTGGTGTGTATGATTTAGATCGCTTCAGATGTATTTTTTGTGGCCAACCATCGAACTCACGGCGGTTGAACTTGGTATACACAGATTGGACATGATAACTGGATCAGAGCCATAGTTTTTCACCCCAACGGAAAGCATCTTCTTTCAGCGTCCGATGACAAAACTATCAGAATATGGGACTTGAGGACAGGTCGCTGTGTCAAAGTACTGGAGGCCCACGATCATTTTGTTACATGTATGGCATGGGGTCGAGCTCCAGCTGGTGGCGGCCCGCCAACCACCAATGAAGATATCTCCCAATCGAAATCTGGCGAAGCTGTAAATCAGCGAGTTGTCACAGTCATGGCTACAGGGAGCGTTGACCAATCCGTCAAAATTTGGACGCCATAACTAGTTGACCCTCATGAAGGTGTTCACGACAAAGGTATGAGGATTACGTTTCCTGATTTTATCATCTGCATTCAGCTATTTTGCACCCTTTGGAAGCGGGATTCCTATGTAATGTTTAAATAAGATGTGACTTGTTCCCAATCTTTGTGTAAAGGCCTGACTGTATGCGGTCCTGGCTATTTCGTTAATTCTCTAATTTGTTTTTTTGCTTCATTGTTGATACAAACTGAAGTGGCATGCATGTAATGTGAGCAGAATCTTTGTTTCATAGACCTCCTGTCACATCCAAAACTGGAGGGCTCGCCAGGTCTGACTCCTGAGCTGCCCCAATCACTGCAGATAAGCCAAAGCCTCCAGCCTCATTTGAACCTATTGAATACTATTACCCAGAAATCTGGAGGACTGGTGGACATTGAATCTTGTGGATACATACAAGCCAATGTGGATATCAATACAGACATGTACAGCTCTGAGAAGGTCGGCTGCTTTTGGCAGGCTGTACCTACTAGCTCAAAACACAACCAAATCCACCTCTTTTTTCATGACCCACATTTGCATTGATCACATCTCATGCTTAGTTATTAAATTTTTCAAATAGTCAACCAAGATCTATAATTGTTCAAACAATCCCAGTAAAAGGAACCTCGAATTACTCTGTACAATCAATCATCATCTTGGCTTTGGCTTTCGTGCGGTAATTATTATGTAATTGATATGATCAAGATTGACTTCAAAATTGACTACAGAGTACACATGCTATGTTTGTTGGACAATGGCAATGCTGGATGACTATCTATGATGCTCATTGTCCATAGTTTTTAGAATCACATCTTCCTATGTGGTTTGTTGATTGGCTTTTTGGAACATGCTGCATTAGTACTTGTTGAATTGTCATAGTCCTTGAGTCCATTCTTTATTTGGCACATCACATTCTCAAGATGGGATGCAAATGAAATGAGCAAGTGTTCTACTTGGAAACACTTCAGCGCACTAAGATGCAAATTGGAACAATTATCCTACCCAGGATCAATCTGAATCAACATGCTGAAAAATAAGGCAGAATATGAATTTTTATTCTATTTGCTCAGAGTCAATTAGAATATAAAAAGGTTGAATCCCATGCACATTGCAGATTGGAAAACCAATCATGTGCAACCATGAATATCTTCTAATCATCCACCTTCACGTGTTATTCCAACCAATATATATTCACACTCAAATCATGTACATCAAAATGGATATTCAAACCCTGTATGTTGAATTCTCTCACATCAACATGTATAATCACATGGTGAATTTCAAAAGGGATAATCAATATTTACCTTCCAATTCATAGACTGTGCATGATAATCTCAAATATCAACCATCATGCGCAACTCCCAGAAATATCACCTGATGTTTTTCCAAAATTGAATATTTTGAATATTTTTTTCCTCTTGAGTTTATTTAAAATCCATTCTTAGGCCGCGTTCACTTAGGCCGGATTTCCAGAAAGCGCATTCTAGGTGACCGCTTTTCTACGTGTAGAAAAGCAATTTTTGTAAAAAAACAAAATTTCACGTTTCATGACAAAAGAGGTCATGAAGCGTTTGATTAAAGGTGAAATTAAGGACGATTTTTTTGTTTGTTGATCCCCAGACAAACCCTTCAATCTGAAAAATCCCACTACATAAACCAATCATACATCCTCACTTTTGCAAATTGTTGATGCTCAATCCTTTCTTTCAATCCTTTCTTGAATCGAACTCAATCAGGTCTTTGTACCAGCATTATCTTCGACTAATTACGGCTGAAGTTTGATTGATCGAGAAACTCGATGCTTCGACGTCTATCAAAAAGACTGAACTGGAACTCAGTTTGAGTGAGAAACAGTATTTAGCTAAATCATCTTATGACAGTAAAGCTCAAATGGCTATTTGCCTCACTTCAAAACAAAAATTAGATTAGGTTCCTGTGCTTGTATAAAGGTGACTTGGGTTGAGAATGAGATCAATTGAGGATGAATCGAAGACATTTTTTGAGGAGAGTGGTGGATGACGGATTTCGAGAGCTGTGTACGATGAATGGGGACTCGGGAAATATCTGAGGGGTCCTGTACGGTGGAAGGTACGTTGTGAGATTTCAGGATAAGTTCACAAATGAAATGATAGGTGGGAAAAGTTGAGGCAGAATGCGATTTTGAGAGCAAAAATGTGATATTATCGAATTCTTGAAAAGTGCCAAAAAAAGACTTTTTTCAAGCATTCTGTGATTTCAAGAATGCTTGTAAATAAGAAATCAAACGCATTTCACAGAATGTGATTTATCAACATTCAAGAAAGTGCTTTTTTGTGAAAAAGCGCTTAAGTGAACGCGCCCTTAGTTTCTCTCCAAACTAAAAAAAATTGTCTCCCATATCTTGCAATTTTGCTTAACAGGACCTGAACTCCAAGCTGGATCTGCAGCTGATGAGCGGGATGCCCTCTTGGACAATCTAGAGAGTGAGCCATCTGGACGGATCAGCTATCTCAGCACCCTCCTAACATCTTTCTGTGTCTTGAACTAATTACAGAGCAAAATGAAGAGGAGGCTGAGGTCAACTTTGTATACAAAGTTGTATCCAAGTACATGAAGGATAAAAATGGGGAGAAGAGGGCTGCTGAGTTGAAAGACACCCTTGAAGAAGCCAGAGCCAGAAGAACCACTATTCCTGTGGCTGCCACCGGGCTTAAGCCAGCCATCCATGAGTGGGCAAGGGCTTTTCTTGGAATACCCCGCCAGTCATCTTCACCATCTTCATCAACATCCACCTTTACAGTCAGCAAACACCTTGAGCATCACCTTCCAGAAGCAGCTACTGATGCAGAGGTGAACAACTGGGCCAATTACTCAACTATGCGCTCCGACTGGATCACTGATAAATTTGAACAGGAAATGAGACACCTTCTATTGTTCTACCCCAAAGCGACCAAAACCGCAAAGCATGAGCTTAAAAAAAACGTTACCAAGCGGGTTGCTGAAAATTACAACAAATTTCATCCACCTGTCAAATTCAAATCCAGAGTGGCCCACACCACTGCCTCAGTAGTTTCTTACAATACAACAAAATTATCCTATGCTGAAGTAGCTCTCTCTCAATGTGGATTTCCCCGTGTGACCTTTCAATGGGGTTCTCCAATTTCTAAACCTTGGAACCAGGCAACAATCAACAGCCTAGTTAGATCTTGGCTTGACTGCTACAATGCTAAAGGTGTACCATCCAGCTACATCATTGATGATACTCTTGTTGAAGCTCCCAGATTAGCCAAGGAGAACCTGACTCAGTGGGTACAAGGAAAGCACAAACTTTACAGCCAAGAAGAAAAGGAAAAGAAACTGGTTGCTCAAGAGGGAGGAGCAGAGAAACTAAAAAAAAACTTATGAGTGGGAAGGAAAACAGAAGTCTGAGGGAATTTAGGAAAGCAGTAAGGCAATTCTGTGATTGTATTCAATTCTTAGTGGGAAATTCAGCTGACTTATGGAATCTGTTAAGCTTGCTGAAAGTTGTCAGGGAGCCATCTTTAAATATACTGTAGGGTTCAATGCAGCTACCAGATACTTTCTTCCAGACCCAGCTATCCACTTGGAGACTGAGATGACAAACGTCACCGCCAACACTCCAGCCAGATTTATATGAGTCAAGCTTGCTTGGAGATCACCTGAACTAGATAAATTGATGACTCTTGCAGACACAGCTACCATCAGCAGAATCAAATCTGTCCCCAAACACAAGAAAGAAGAACAAAAACAAGCCTTATGATCTGTGTACTCCCCCAAGAATGTTCCAGCAGCAGATCAACTACCACCTACCGGGTTTTCAAAGATGTTGGTTAAAGAATCCTACCTGCAGGAGGAGCTAGATGAAATTATGGTTGATGGATTGGCTTTGAGCAATGAGAAGATTGCTATTGAAGAACTTATTGCAATCCTCAACAAAAAACTTAGTCCAGCAAGTCGTATGAATACCACTTCATGATAACCTCACAGTCCTTCATAGTTATTCAAACACATGTTTTTCTCTAATGTACTACCATATTGAAAGCTTCACACCCTTTGACCAAACTCAATTTGTTTTCCAATTCTCCTCAAAATCATTCTTTTTCTCCTTCAGTATGGGCTCTCTTTGTTAGTTTGTCATACATAAATTTTCAAACTATGTGGCAAACTCACTAGTTCTAACTTCAGTGTGACAACACCCCTTACACCTTGTAACATCAGCTTTGTGTGAACAAGAGGGATTTTTGAGACAGTCAACATGTAATTGCCTCAGAGTGATTTTCATAGTTACATGTTGCACAACATGAAGCATGTAACACAACATGTGTTCTACATGTTACATGTTGTGAGAGCAGCTGGGTATTGAAACTGAAATCTGGTGGAAAGCCTGTCACCACAATTCATATTCCTTACCATCATTATCTGTACTCCCTCACACTATCTTCACCAGATTCATGTATCATCAGCCACCATTTTACTTTAAACTCCACCAACCCGGAAAACCTTGGGCCACTATCAAGTGAACTCTTGCCAACTAGATCATGAAATCTGGTTGAAAGCCTATCACTACCATTCATATTCCTTACCATCATTATCTGTACTCCCTAATTACAATGTCTTCACCAGCTTCACATATCATCAGCCACCATTCCACTTCAAAATTCACCAACTTGAGAAACCTTGGGCAACTATCAAGTGAACTCTTGCCAACTAGATCATGGGTGAGGCTGAACATTGCTTTGTTGCATGGTAGATTCATATTGATTCACCTATGATATTTCAGCAACCTCTCCCCAGAGCCGGATGGGTGTGTGGCCTAATGGAGGGCCACCCAAAAGTCGCAAAGCCAAAAACAAGGCCTGTGTAAGGTGTTACATGTAGACTTATGGGTTAAACGTATGGACTTAGATGGGTAGCGGATTACTTGTACTCACAAACGCCCTAGCTCCATGAAGATCCTCTCTTCACCAAATACCCTTTGGATGGAGCTAGGTGAGCTTTCATCATTTCACTTATCATTTCATTTTCATCACTCTGTGTTTCTTTTCTTTGTTTCTTGTAGAGTGTGTCTGATGTCCTCTCTTCACCGAATACCCTTTGGAGAGAGCTAGTTGTCGGAATTGGGAATATATAGTTGGGTTTGAGATTACCTCTGGAGCTATTGCTCCTTCTGTGCCAACCAGCAGTGAAGATCCTCTCGAGGATCTTACACTTTTTTAATCTAAAATCATCAAACCAACTTTATCACCATAATCAACCTTAATCA